CGTACACGGAGTGGGCAAGAAAAGACACATACAGAACGAGAGGACAAAAAAAGGAGGCAGCTGCACCGGGACCAGGAGCAGTGGCGCATGCAGCTGCAGGGTCGGCGCCGTGGGCTGCTGCAGAGGCGGCTGCTGCAGGGGCGGCTGCTCGGGTCCAGGGGCAGCTGCAGCAGTGGCGGCTGCTCCAGGGGCCAAGGGCGGCTGCTGCAGGGGCGGCTGCACCAGGTGCGGCGTCGCGGGTCCAGGGGCGGCTGCACCAGGGGCGGCTGCACCAGGGGCGGCTGCTGCAGGGGCGGCTGCTCCAGGGGCGGCGTCGCGGGTCCAGGGGCGGCTGCACCAGGGGCGGCTGCTCCAGGGGCGGCTGCTGCAGGGGCGGCTGCTCCAGGGGCGGCTGCTGCAGGGGCGGCTGCACCAGGTGCGGCGTCGCGAGTCCAGGGGCGGCTGCACCAGGGGCGGCTGCACCAGGGGCGGCTGCTGCAGGGGCGGCTGCTCCAGGGGCGGCTGCTGCAGTTGCTGGCGGCTCCAGGGGCTGCTGCTGCAGTTGCGGGCGGCTCCAGGGGCTGCTGCTGCAGTTGCGGGCGGCTCCAGGGGCTGCTGCTGCAGTGGCGGGCGGCTCGAGGTGCGCCCTGGTCTGGCGCAGTCCGTACGGGCCGCGCGCGGGCCTGGCGCAGCCCGTACGGGCCGCGCGCGGGCCTGGCGCAGCCCGTACGGGCCACGCACAGGCTGGACGGGCCGCGCACGGGCCCTACGGAGGTCGCGCGGGCCACGACGGGCGACGGGGGGCGACGCGCGGGTCCCCGTCGCCCGTCGCAGCGCCTCCCGGGGGCGACGCGCGGAGTGACGGGGCAGAAAGCCGCCGCGCGCCTCGGGGCGCACGGCGGGCAGAAAACCGCCGCGCGCCTCGGGGCGCACGGCGGGCAGAAAACCGCCGCACGCTTCGAGGGCGCGGCGGGATGAAAAATTAGGGTTTCGCCGCCGCGCACCACGGGGCGCGCGGCGGACAGTACGGCAGCGGAAGCAGGTGGTGGGCCCATAGAGGTAAGCGGCAGGAACGTGCTCGCTCTAGATACCATGTTAGAAACAATAGGAGTGGGGCCTAGGCTTAGTAGCCTAGGCCCACACTAAGAGGTAGTAGGATGTGCCCTAGGACTAGGGTTTTGGGTATGCGAAGGAGAATTGGAGAAGAGGAATGATGGAGGATGATTGAACTAGCAAGCAGGTTGGTACAAATAGGAAACCCTAAAAGGTGTTGTACTCATTATTGAGCCCCCACTGCAGGCTAGACAAATAACATAATCTGACACATCCGTTTTCCGGTTCTTCATTGACTAACATCTCCTAATCTCGTGTCTTAACTGTTTCTAAAGGATGCGGCTTGTTTAAGCTAAGGGTAGAGGCTTATTGTAAAGACTTCGCCTTTTTTTCTCACATTTTTAGGTCATATCTTCGTCTCTTACTGCATATCTAGCATCTATTTCTTTTGTTTTTCATCGTTTCTGCCTTTCGTCTCTACGTCGTATGCATATTTTCACTTTTTGTTGTTCCTAGATCTAGATCTAGAACCGTCATATCCTCCTATTTGCCGCGAAGTCGCTTTAGGCCTAAGATTTCTGTCGGTTTATTCATTATCTTTCATAATCTCATTGCTTTTCATTCTCGTATGGCGTCTCTCTCCTTGTCCAACTTTCTCGCTCGTCAACTCCGCTCGTCCGCCAACCTATTTTCCTTTGTCCGCCTCACTTTGGATCTCCTTACTACGTTCTTCTCTTTGTTCGTTCACTCGAGAGATCTCTAGAGAGAGAGCTTGTGAGGTTCTCTAGTCTCTCTCTTGCTTATCTCTCTCTCTTATCTCTCGAGAGAGTCTCTCTATCTCGAGTCTCTCTCGTTCTCTCTCGTTCTCTCTTCGAAGAGATCTTCTCTCTCTATTCTCTCAGTTCTCTATCTCTCTCTCTCTCTCTCTCTCTCTATCTCTAGCTATCTCTCTCTCTCTCTCTCTCTCTCTAGTCTCTATATCTCTCTCTTCTCTCTCTCTCTCTCTCTTATCTCTCTCTCTCTCTCTCTCTCTCTCTCTCGTTCTCTCTCTCTTTCTCTCTCTCTCTCTCTCTCTCTCTCTCTCTCTCTCTCTCTCTCTCTCTCTCTCTCTCTCTCTCTCTCTCTCTCTCTCTCTCTCTCTCTCTCTCTCTCTCTCTCTCTCTCTCTCTCTCTCTCTCTCTCTCTCTCGCTCTCTCTCTCTCTCTCTCTCTCTCTCTCTCTGTGAAATTCACACCTAAGGGATATCGTTGTTTCCTGTTTTGTTACTTGCTCTGTTTTTTGGGTCCTGTTTTTTTATGTATATCTATGTTCACCACCATTAGCTTGCATCCTGTTTGGTTATTATGCTTTTCTCCTCACTGCCTTGCTTTCTTTTTCCATTTTCTTCGCGATTTGATAATTCTTTTCTCCTCCCCCCCCCGGTTCCATCTTTCCCTCTGCTTCATTCGTTGCTATTTGTTTTTCCAGATTTTCTTTGACTTTCGTTCCAGATATGTACATCTGCGAAGCGAAGAGTTCATGTGAAGTGGATAGTAGTGGTGACTTGTAAAATTGTATTGTATTGATGTTCACATGTTTTATTGTTTTGCAGTTTGTGCATTAGGTTTTTTTTTTTTTTTTTTTTTTTAGGGTTGTGTGCATATCGGTATGTGTGTCAGTGCGTGTCTTTGTGTGTGCACACTCATCTGTATGCATCTGTCATCGCATTAACAATGCGGATCTGTGGGTTTTAAAAAGATGGTCAAACCATCATTTCCGAGAAGGTTCTTTGCGCACTCAGTGAGTGTGTCCACTTGAACTGGATTTGATGGATCTTGATCATTTTTTTAATTTACACAGATTGTGTTGTTTCATGTAACGGTTGGATGATTCAGAAACTATGCTATTGAGCTCCCCCCCATGCTAGGCAGGGGATGCGGTAGCATAGAGCCTGTGTCAATTAACTGTTACGCATTTCCATCATGCTAAGCATTCATTTAACTACGACTTAAAGCTGGAAAATATACTATGGTATATTTACCACAGTAGCATATGCATTATATTTATGCATTGTTCATTCAATATTTGGTTCACCATATCCATCATTATACTTCATCTATGCATAACATGGTACGGAATAGACAGTCATGCGTTCACAGTAACATCATTTCGGCAACACATGTTCATGTTTGATCCATACAATATACGGGTAGGTTCAGTCGAGGCAAACTAGGAAATGAGAACGAATGTGGCGAATTGCCGAGGCAAATACATACCGTAGCAGTCAATCACTTACCATAACTACCGTTCACTACATTTTTTATTTTTTTTAGAGGTTGAAAAAAAAATTGTACATAACGATCGTTATAGGTTGCTTCTCAACCCAACAATTCCAATGATGACAGCGACAAGTTTCAACCAAAATATGTGTGCGTTATGCTTATGAGACAACCCGGCACAATTTCGCGTTCCATTCCAGATGTTTCCTTGACTCTAGTCTTTGGCTTCAGTTCTTGATCCAGTCCAAAGACGGTTTCCGCTCTATTGCCACTGTTGTTTCCCTAGCACTTATCTGTCATAAGTTTGGAGGAGTTCGTCAATCGATGCTGGTCCCACAGAAATACCTCGGTTTCGGCTGTAATACAACTGTGTCACAAGTGGAACCAAATTTGCTTAGCAGATGGCCTGCCGAAGTACTGAACAGAACCTAACTTCTGAAATACAGCTTCTCGTGACTTGCTTAGAGTCAGTGGGAGATCTGTCGGGTTTTCAATGCAGAGTTCGTGAAAATACCGCGCGGCGGAGTGGCGTCCTTCGCTAGCCTGGTGAGATGTGTACAGTACCCCCGATTTGAATCGAAAAGAGGGTCACAAGTCTTGTGCGCTGTCAATCGGACCAGGCGCTGTCGCCTAAAAACCGACCAGAGGCGATTTTCCTGGTAGGATCCACATCTTGACCTTACGATATTACTACTAACAAGATTGCGCCCAGGTTTTAGAACCCACACCCACTTAGTTGGTGGTCTTAGGCGCAGCCAGAACGTCGCGCTCACTGCTTTTCGCTAGCCACATTTCTCACTTCTAACCGTCCGTCAGCTTCAAATTTTCGCACAACCGACCGATTGCTGTTTTGATTGGCCAGTTGCCATCTGCCGTCGGCTCGCCGTAATGTGATCGTCGTGTAGCACTGCTCGAGCGACGAACCTTCATCCTAGCGACGAGCTGATAACTCCGCAGCCCACCTGCTTACATATTGTCAGGCCGTCAAATATGCGCTTCTAATAATTAGTTTTTTTCGGAAGTGTTAAATGCGTCTGCACCGCACCAGCTCACCGGCTTGTCAAGACGTAGTAGGCACACTTCGCAGAGACACCTCGCCTACGCGCGTCGCAGCCACTTTTTTACTACTGAATTATGCAAAAATAGAATCTGACACGCGTCGCAGACACATCGTATGACTGAATGCCGACCTTTCCGCGTGCAATCTCAACTGTTTCGTCTGTTTCCGTAACATTTGCGTAAAACTTTTCAAGCTTCGGGTCCGGGAAATCTTTGCCGACCTTTGCGACGTCCTTGCGACGTCTTTGCGACGCCTGCGACGTCGTCGCGATTGTGTCAAGAAAGCTTAGGTTGGGGCAAGCCACGTAGCACTGTTTCAAATGGAGGGGTTTCTTTCCCAGCCGCACGGGTGGGAGGATTTGCGGAGCAGCGTACTTAGGATCTTCGCGCTGGAATGTAAGAGGTAGGAGGGCTAGAACTAGGGCTAGAACTAGGGCTAGAACTAGGGTTGGAGCTAAGTTTCGAGCTAGGGTTGGAATTAGGTAGGGTAAGGAATCAGGGTTAGGAGGTTAGGTCGGCTTCGTAGTAACACGCTCGACGAGGGGAAGAAACAGCTGGGGACAGCGGTAGCAGAGCAGTAGAGGTGGCGCCGTTATTGAGTCGGCTACAGAAAGAACAATATTTGTATTGCGAAGCTAGATCGCTGGGCGTATGGGCTCGTGCGCGTCTATGTGTAATGGCGGCTCGCAAGAGGAGAAAAAAACACCTCGTAAGTGATAGCTTGTTGGTTTCTGAGCAAGTGCGCATCTGGAATATAGATTAGAGAGGTCACACTCTTTACCTGGGAGGTGTGTGGGCCTGTGCGCGTCTATGCGCAATTCTGGCTCGCAAGAGGAGAAGAAAGCACCTCGTGATTGATAGCTGGTCGATATTTGAACCAGTGCGTATTCCTTTTAAAAGTAAAGGAATAGCGCACTTATAAGACGTCTCAAGAACGCATTGTGGAACTAACTGGGTGCATGAACCCGTGCGTTTCAAAATGACGTTTCTGCTCGTCTACATGGCGTTTCTGCGCTTTTATATGCATTAGCGGTTTTAAAGTGGTGGAAAAGGCGCATTTTGAGTGGGTTGCCATTCTTGCTTTCGTTTGAATCTCCTGTCTCTCGCCCTGCTTTTTACACATTCCCCACCCTCCCCTCCTCTTTCATTCCTCTCCCCTCGAGTTTTTAGACGTTTCAAAACCCCACCCTCCCATTCTCCACTCTCCCCATGCTCTCCCCTCGCTTCCACCCCAACCTCCCCGGCCCCCTTGTTCCCTCAATCAACCCCTCCCCTTCATCCTCGCCCCTTCCCCTCTTTCCTCTTCCGTCCCCACTCCCCTCTCCTCCCCTTTCCCCCTTCCACGTGTCGCAACCACAGAAGCCACGCTCCACGTGTCACTACCGCAGGAGTTTAAGTACGAGGTGCTAGTAGCAGCAACTAACAATTTCGACCAATCAGATGTGCTGGGCGAGGGGGGGTTCGGGAAGGTCTACAAGGCCGTGATTCGCGGAGGCAAGGGGGACGAGAATGGGGAGGGCGGAGAGGGGAAGGGAGAAGGTGCGGCAGCGGCGGCGGTTGCGGGACAGGCAGTGGCGATTAAAGTGCTGAATAGTTCCGGGAAGACGAGCGGTTACCGGGAATGGGTGGTGAGTGATAGAACCATTCGGATTTCGAACCGTTGGCCCCTTAATATGTCCCCTCAACCCTCCACTTTCTCTATCCCCTCACCCCTCATCTCATCCCCTCCCTTCCCCTCTCCCCTCACCCCCTCCCTTTCCCGTTTCCCCTCACCCCTTCGCTTCACTCCCCTCCCCCTCCCTCCCTCTTTCCCCCGTCCACTCACCACCTCACTTATGGTTTTTAGCCCGAAGTGCTGCTGAAGAGGTTGGGGTGGCGAGGAACTATGTTAGAATTTTTCTTTTTAGAATTGTCAACCATCCCAACCTCGCAAGCTTCCTTATCTCCTTAGTTCCCATACCTCCTCCACTCCCCCCCCACACTCCCCCCCGCCTCCTCTTCCCTCTCCTCTCCCGGTTCAACCGGAGGTGCTGATGCTGGAGCGCCTCTCCCACCCCAACCTCGTCAGCCTGTGAGGGCACTTTGCGCATGGCGAGATGGGCTTGTGTCATCCTCCTAATCCCAATTCCCCCCTCCCCCCTCCTCCCCCATTCTCCCGGCAAACCCTCCTTCCTCGCCTTTCTCACCCGGAAGTGCTGATGCTGGAGCGCCTCTCCCACCCCAACCTCGTTGACTTTTGAGTCGACTCAAAAGTCCTCTCCCACCCCAACCTCGTCAGTCTGCGCGGCTACTGCGCTCACGGAGGAGAGATGGCCTTGCCCGTCCTCCTCCTAACCCTGAACCCCCCTCTTCTCCTCGAAACTCCTTCCACCATCCTGAACCTTGGTTTTACAGACAGAAGTGCTGATGCTGGAGCGCCTCTCCCACCCCAACCTGGTCAGCCTGCGCGGCTACTGCGCTCATGGAGAGATGGCGTTCCTGGTCTATGAATACGTGCCCAATCGCGCGCTCAACTATCACCTCTTCTCCAGTGAGTGACTGGTTATCACCTCCGTTTCCCCCTTCCCCTCCCCCTGCTGGCTTACCTTTGAGTCTGCCAAAAGAACCTGCCTGTGTGTGTGTGCTCACGGCGAGATGGCGTTTCTCGTCTGTGAATACGTGCCCAATCGCGCGCTCAACTACCACCTCTTCTCCAGTGAGTGACTGGTTATCACCTCCGTTTCCCCCTTCCCCTCCCCCTGCTGGCTTACCTTTGAGTCTGCCAAAAGAACCTGCCTGTGTGTGTGTGCTCACGGCGAGATGGCGTTTCTCGTCTGTGAATACGTGCCCAATCGCGCGCTCAACTATCACCTCTTCTCCAGTGAGTGACTGGTTATCACCTCCGTTTCCCCCTTCCCCTCCCCCTGCTGGCTTACCTTTGAGTCTGCCAAAAGAACCTGCCTGTGTGTGTGTGCTCACGGCGAGATGGCGTTTCTCGTCTGTGAATACGTGCCCAATCGCGCGCTCAACTACCACCTCTTCTCCAGTGAGTGACTGGTTATCACCTCCGTTTCCCCCTTCCCCTCCCCCTGCTGGCTTACCTTTGAGTCTGCCAAAAGAACCTGCCTGTGTGTGTGTGCTCACGGCGAGATGGCGTTTCTCGTCTGTGAATACGTGCCCAATCGCGCGCTCAACTACCACCTCTTCTCCAGTGAGTGACTGGTTATCACCTCCGTTTCCCCCTTCCCCTCCCCCTGCTGGCTTACCTTTGAGTCTGCCAAAAGAACCTGCCTGTGTGTGTGTGCTCACGGCGAGATGGCGTTTCTCGTCTGTGAATACGTGCCCAATCGCGCGCTCAACTATCACCTCTTCTCCAGTGAGTGACTGGTTATCACCTCCGTTTCCCCCTTCCCCTCCCCCTGCTGGCTTACCTTTGAGTCTGCCAAAAGAACCTGCCTGTGTGTGTGTGCTCACGGCGAGATGGCATTTCTCGTCTGTGAATACGTGCCCAATCGCGCGCTCAACTACCACCTCTTCTCCAGTGAGTGACTGGTTATCACCTCCGTTTCCCCCTTCCCCTCCCCCTGCTGGCTTACCTTTGAGTCTGCCAAAAGAACCTGCCTGTGTGTGTGTGCTCACGGCGAGATGGCGTTTCTCGTCTGTGAATACGTGCCCAATCGCGCGCTCAACTACCACCTCTTCTCCAGTGAGTGACTGGTTATCACCTCCGTTTCCCCTTCCCCTCCCCCTGCTGGCTTACCTTGAGTCTGCCAAAAGAACCTGCCTGTGTGTGTGTGCTCACGGCGAGATGGCGTTTCTCGTCTGTGAATACGTGCCCAATCGCGCGCTCAACTATCACCTCTTCTCCAGTGAGTGACTGGTTATCACCTCCGTTTCCCCCTTCCCCTCCCCCTGCTGGCTTACCTTTGAGTCTGCCAAAAGAACCTGCCTGTGTGTGTGTGCTCACGGCGAGATGGCGTTTCTCGTCTGTGAATACGTGCCCAATCGCGCGCTCAACTACCACCTCTTCTCCAGTGAGTGACTGGTTATCACCTCCGTTTCCCCCTTCCCCTCCCCCTGCTGGCTTACCTTTGAGTCTGCCAAAAGAACCTGCCTGTGTGTGTGTGCTCACGGCGAGATGGCGTTTCTCGTCTGTGAATACGTGCCCAATCGCGCGCTCAACTACCACCTCTTCTCCAGTGAGTGACTGGTTATCACCTCCGTTTCCCCCTTCCCCTCCCCCTGCTGGCTTACCTTTGAGTCTGCCAAAAGAACCTGCCTGTGTGTGTGTGCTCACGGCGAGATGGCGTTTCTCGTCTGTGAATACGTGCCCAATCGCGCGCTCAACTACCACCTCTTCTCCAGTGAGTGACAGGTTACCACCTCTGCTGGTTACCACCTCCACTAGGCTACTGCGCTCACGGAGAGATGGCGTTCCTGGTCTACGAATACGTGCCCAATCGCGCCCTCAACTACCACCTGTTTTCGAGTAAGTGGTTTACCTGTGACTCAGCCCTGTCTGTCTGTGTGCGTACTGCGCTCATGGAAAGATGGCGTTCCTGGTCTACGAATACGTGCCCAATCGCGCCCTCAACTATCACCTCTTCTCCAGTGAGTGGGTTACCTGGGTGAATCTGTGAGTCGGGTCGGCCAGAGGCCCTGTGTGTGTGCGGTCACGGTGAGACGTCATTCCTCGTGTATGAATATGTTTCCAAGGGAGCCCTCAATCACCACCTCTTCTCCAGTGAGTGACCCACCTGTGGGTCTGTCCGTCGGGTCGGACAGAGGCCCTGTGTGTGCGTGCTCACAGTGAGACGCCATTCCTGGTCTATGAATATGTCTCCAAGAGCGCCCTCAACTACCATCTCTTCTCCAGTGAGTGACCCACCTGTGGGTCTGTGAGTCGGCCAGAGGCCCTGTGTGTGCGTGTGAGCTCATGGCGAGATGACATTCCTGCTCACAACAGCTGCTGACAATGAGTCGAGTTTTGAGTCGACTCAAAACTCGACTCACCTGTGGGTCTGTGAGTCGGCCAGAGGCCCTGTGTGTGCGTGTGAGCTCACAGCGAGATGACATTCCTGTTCACAACAGCTGCTGACAATGGCATTTCCCTGTCCTGGCAGCAGAGAGTGCAGAGAGGATAGCCACGGGGGCAGGGTGGCTGTTATTATTACCCTCCTCCCCTCCCCTCTCCCTCCCCTCCCCTCTCCCTCCCCTCCCCTCTCCCTCCCCCCCCTTCCTTCCCTACCCGTTATAACACAGCTGCCGACATTGCGATTCCCCTGTCATGGCAGCAGCGCGTGCAGATAGCCGTGGGGGCAGGTTGGCTTGGCTGTTACGTTCCCTTCTCCTTTTGACTCTCTTCTTCTTCTCCTCCCCTTCTCCCCATCTTACAGCGGCCGGCCGACAATGTCATTCTGCTCTCGAGTGGCAGCAGCGCGTGCAGATAGCCGTGGGGGCAGGTTGGCTTGGCTGTTACGTTCCCTTCTCCGTTTGACTCTCTTCTTCTTCTCCTCCCCTTCTCCCCATCTTACAGCGGCCGGCCGACAATGTCATTCTGCTCTCGAGTGGCAGCAGCGCGTGCAGATAGCTGTGGGGGCAGGTTGGCTTGGCTGTTACGTTCCCTTCTCCTTTTGACTCTCTTCTTCTTCTCCTCCCCTTCTCCCCATCTTACAGCGGCCGGCCGACAATGTCATTCTGCTCTCGAGTGGCAGCAGCGCGTGCAGATAGCCGTGGGGGCAGGTTGGCTTGGCTGTTACGTTCCCTTTTCCTTTTGACTCTCTTCTTCTTCTCCTCCCCTTGTCCCCATCTTACAGCGGCCGGCCGACAATGTCATTCTGCTCTTGAGTGGCAGCAGCGCGTGCAGATAGCCGTGGGGGCAGGTTGGCTTGGCTGTTACGTTCCCTTCTCCTTTTGACTCTCTTCTTCTTCTCCTCCCTTCTCCCCATCTTACAGCGGCCGACAATGTCATTCTGCTCTCGAGTGGCAGCAGCGCGTGCAGACAGCCGTGGGGGCAGCGACAGGACTGCACCATCTGCACGAGATGAACAACATCTGTAGTGGGCTCAGAGAGCTGTGGGGGCAGTGGGGTTGTTATAACCTTCCTCTCCTTTCCCCCTTTCCACCCATTCCTCTCCTACTTGTTTTCCTGTGTTCACCACAGCGGCTGACAATGTGATCCCCTGTCATGGCAGCAGCGCGTGCAAATAGCCGTGGGGGCGGCAACAGGCCTGCACCATCTGCACGAGAGGAACATCATTCACCGCGACTTCAAATCATCTAATATCCTGCTTGACGATGTGAGTGAATGGTGTTTGTCATATATGCCATCCAACACACAAGGGGGCGGAAGGGGGGGGTGGGGAGGAGGGGGGGGAGGAGGGGGGGGGGCAGCAACAGGCCTGCACCATCTGCACGAGAGGAACATCATTCACCGCGACTTCAAATCATCTAATATCCTGCTTGACGATGTGAGTGGGGGGTGTGTCATACGTGCCATTCAACACACAAGGGGAAGGGGGGAGGGGGGGAGGGTTGAGAGGGAGGGGGGGTCGAAGCAACGGGGTTGCACCGGCTGCACGAGAGGAGCATCATTCACCGCGGCGTCAAGTCCTCCAACATCCTGCTTGACGGTGTGAGTGAATGGAGTTGAGAGAGTGGTGTGAGAGAGTGGTGTGAGTGGGGTGTGTGTGCGTGCGTGCGTGCGTGCGTGTGTGCACGCACATGCACGTGTGTGTGCACATGATGCATATATCTGACTGCATTATCTGCACGAGACGGATATCACCAAGACTTACAAGTCACTAAACACCTTCCCCCCCTTCCCGAATGTAAGACTCTGTTCGTATATGTATGGATACATATATGGCTATATATGTATTCAGACATACCTACATATATAAAATTTTTACATTTTTAGGGCGTGTGCACTAGGGGTTCGAACTTCTGTCTAAGTTCGAACTTTTAGCGAGTTTCTACTCGGTACGATACTAATAAGAGACGTTTCTCCACGGTGCGAAGCGGTGAATGTTCGAACTTTGACAAATTTCGCCCAAAGTGCACACGCCCTTATATCGCCTGTATATATTGACCCCGCCTTGCGCACAAATTCATGTTCATACCCTCCCTTTCCATTCCTCTCACTCCCTTTCTTCCCTTATTTGCGCTCTCTCCCTCCCTCTCTCCGCCCTTCATTCAGAACTTGGTGGCGAAAGTGAGCGACTTTGGCCTGGCAAAGGTGGGCCCGGTGGGGGATCAGAGGTGATTTGTGAGTGTGTTGACTAAGAATCATCTCCCTTCTACTTGCTCCCTCCCTCCCTCCCTCTCTCCCCCCCTCGTTCAGAACTTGGTAGCCAAAGTGAGCGACTTCGGACTGGCCAAGGTGGGCCCGGTGGGGGACCAGAGCTATGTTGAGACGAAGGTGAAGGGCACACCGGGGTACATCGACCCTGCTTACATGGAGAGAGGTGAGTGCATGAGGGATGGGAAGTGGTGACTGTTGCTGTGTGTCTGTCTGTGTCTGTGCTTTTACCAAGGTGGGCCCGGTGGGGGGCCAGAGCGCCATGTTGAGACCAAGGTGAAGGGCGCACCGGGGTACATCGACCCTGCTTACATGGAGAGAGGTGCGTGAGAGATTGAGTGAACAATGGGGGGGGTGATCTGAGCTACTGAAGAGAGAGGAGAGAGGAGTATCTGCCTGGACCGTGGGTGTTTGCCTTGTGGGCCCACTGGGGGATCAGCGTTGCACGGAGACCAAAATGAAGGGCACACCGGGATATATCGACCCTGCTTACATAGAAAGAGGTGAGTGCGTGTGTGCGTTTGTGCGTGTGTGGCTGTATCTCTGTGCATGGGCACACCGGGATATATCGACCCTGCTTACATGGAGAGGGGTGAGTGACCATGGAGGTGCGAGGTTGGTGCAGTATAAGTGCTGTTTGGGTGCTGTTGTTGGTAGTGGCGTGCTTCAAGCCAAGGTGGGCCCGGTGGGGGATCAGAGCTACGTGGAGACCAAGGTGAAGGGCACACCGGGGTACATCGACCCTGCTTACATGGAGAGAGGTGAGTGCATGAGGGATGGGAAGTGGTGACTGCTGCTGTGTGTCTGTCCGTGTTTATTCAAAAACCAAGGTGGGCCCGGTGGGGTGGGGGATCAGAGCTATGTGGAAACCAAGGTGAAGGGCACACCTGGATATATCGACCCTGCTTACATGGAAAGCTACTGCACAGAGAGGGGTGAGAGGAGTGCTTGCCTGCACAGTGGGTGTGTGCTTTGTGGGTACATCGACCCTGCTTACATGGAGAGGGGTGAGAGCATGTTCTATCTTCCCGGGTTTTTTTAGTCTGTCTTTTCCTGGATGGTGGGTGTGTGCGGTGGTCCTCTTGGTAGGTCAGCTTTACTCTTCTGGTGACCAAGGTGAAGGGCATGCCAGGATACGTTGACCCTGCTTACAGGGAGAGGGGTGAGTGTGTGTGTGCATAGGCTGAGTGGGGTGAATGAGAGATGGAGTGATGTGTGTGCATAGGCTGAGTGGGGTGAATGAGAGATGGAGTGATGTGTGTGCATAGGCTGAGTGGGGTGAATGAGAGATGGAGTGATGTGTGTGCATAGGCTGAGTGGGGTGAATGAGAGATGGAGTGATGTGTGTGCATAGGCTGAGTGGGGTGAATGAGAGATGGAGTGATTTGTGTGCATAGGCTGAGTGGGGTGAATGAGAGATGGAGTGATGTGTGTGCATAGGCTGAGTGGGGTGAATGAGAGATGGAGTGATTTGTGTGCATAGGCTGAGTGGGGTGAATGAGAGATGGAGTGATGTGTGTGCATAGGCTGAGTGGGGTGAATGAGAGATGGAGTGATGTGTGTGCATAGGCTGAGTGGGGTGAATGAGAGATGGAGTGATGTGTGTGCATAGGATGAGTTAAGTGATGGCATACACTCCCTCTTTTCTCCCTTGCCCCATTCCTTCCCTCCTCAGATTGGTTGGTGGTGATATTTGACATGTACGATTTTGCAGTGCTGCTGCAGACTATCATAGTGGAGCCAACCTTCCTCCCTTACAATCTCCCTCTCAACTCCCCAACCCCCTTCTCCTCAAGTCGGCTGACGGTGAAATCGGACGTGTATGCGTTTAGAGTGGTGCTACTGGAGCTGCTGCTTACAATGGTAGTGCGACCCTTTTAAACTCCCCCCCTTCCTTTCGTGCTTCTCCCGTTCCCCCTTCCCTTCCACTTCCCCTCAGGACACCCGACAGTGAAGTCTGACGTGTGTGCGTTTGGGGTGGAGCTGCTAGAGCTGCTGCTTACAATGATTGTGCAACCCGTACAACCTCCCAATCCCCACCCTCCCCTCCCCCCCCTCCCTCCCTCCCCTTTCCCTCTCTTCTCCCCTTCCTTGGCAGGTCGCCTGACGGTGAAATCTGATGTGTATGCGTTTGGGGTGGTGCTGCTAGAGCTGCTAACCGGCCGGCATTCCCGTCTCCCCTCCCTTCATTCCCTCCCTTCCCCTCTTTCCCCCTTCCTTTCCCCACAGGTCGCCTGACAGGGAAATCAGATGTCTATGCATTTCGAGTGGAGCTGCCGGAGCTGCTGCTGCATACAGTGAAAGTGGAACCAACCTTCCTCCCTCTACCCTTCCCTTATCCCCTCAGGCCGCCTGACAGTGAAGTCCGATGTCTATGCATTTGGAGTGGTGTTGCTGGAACTGCTAACTGGGAGGCATGCGACAGACAGCGACAGTGGCAGCTTGGCGCAGTGGGTGTGGGAGGAGTCTAAAGTCTACACCCCATCCATAGTTGATGCGAGAATAAAGGACGGATATTCGGACAAGGGTGGGAGGAAGTTTTTCGCGCTTGCCCGCGCGTGCATAAATGTGAACACAGAGCCTCGACCAGAGATGAGTGACGTGCTGAGTACACTCAATTTGATTAGTAAGATGTGATGTTAGAGTACGGGAATGAGACTTGATGGGATGAGAGAAGTTGGACTTGTTTGTGATAGCCTCACTTTTGGCTGCAGAAAGTACAGTCGGATCAGATTAGATACAAAATTGCTGTGTTGCCACTTATTACTATTCATGATCTGTGAGATAAACCAATGACTGGTATTTATTCAGGTCACCAACCTAAGTGGCATTAGACTTAGTCCACACTGATGAAAGTTTCAATCGCATGTGCAACTGTGCCTTAGCCCTGCTTGCATTGCAACACCATTCTTGGGCAGAAATTTCTTGTGAACCCACAGAGAGAACAATGGAACTGTACCGCAGCTTTACTTGGTAGATCACACCACACAATCCAGCCGTACCGCAGACAATTTCTGAAACGTCTCAACAATCGCCCCGTGCAGTGTAAGAACGCGGCAGCTTCACGTGGCAAAATTACACAACCACCCAGCCATACCGCAGCCCTAGAATCCCAGCCTTCTTCCTCTCCCCTTGCTCCTGCTCCTCCCTTTTGCTGCTGCCGATGCTGCTGCTGTTGCTGATGTTACTCCTGCTGCTCATACTGCTGATACTACTGCTGATGCTGCTGATACTTGTCATGTCAACCTTCCGGAACCCTCTGAAGCTCACAGCAGCGGGTGCAGTCACGGGTCTGTTGCACCATCAGCATCAGCATCAGCAGAATCCTCATGCTCCTCCTTGGCAGCTTCCCCCTCATTGTTTCCCCTCATTGTCTCTTCAAAACCGGCCGAGCTTGACTCATCAGCAGCAGCACCATTCACAGATATGGCAGTGGCAGCGGCGTCAGCATCAGCGGTAGCATCGGCAGTAGCAGCAGTAGCATCGGCGGCAGCGGCAGCGGCAGCAGCAGCAGCAGCAGCGGCAGCTTCGAGACCACTGTTCGCAGAGACAGTGATTATCAGAGATTCCTCTTCTTGCTGCTGCTCCTGCTGCTGCTCCTGTGCGCTTGCCTGCTCCCCCACCAAACCTCTCCCACTCCCTGCAGCACCAAGCCCAGCCCACATGGCCACGCGGTTAACGAAACTCGACGACGCAGAAAGCTGAGCAGTTGCAGGCTCTACGGCATCCTTTTCACCCGTCGAACCCTCTTCTACCACCTGCTGTTGCTGGATTGGCGGCTGTTGCTGCTGCTGCTGCTGCTGCTGGGGCTGCTGCTGCTGGTACTGATGCAGAGACGAGAGGTCGATTGAACCAAACATGGGGCTTGTGTTGAAAGCCGCCGAGGGAAAGGAAGGGAAGCTCGAGCCAGCTCCCAGGAGGGAGAACCTACGAGCAGGCGTGTTGGCGGGGGGGTGAATGCGAGGAGACGTGCTGGGCTCAGGGGAGAAACCGCCTGTCCCACATGAAGCATCCGAGAGGCTTCGTGTGTCGTATGGCTCTGAGTCAGAGCACGCGTGAGGGTCATCCTCGTTCTGGTGAGAGTTGTTACGATGAGGGTCATTTGGGTGAGCGTTGCTCAGAAGGGCGTTTTCTGGGAGAGGGTCGATTGTGTGAGCGTCGATGGGCGGGTGGTGGTGGGGGGTGTTGTGGGGTTTGACGGAGGGTTTGGAGTGCCACTGCTGCCACTGCTGCAGGAGCGAGGGCTTGAGTGTGGAGACGGGTTGGGCGTCTTGAGAGGCCGATGTGTTGGCTCTGGGGAGCGGGGCCTTGGCTTGTGGCCCCACCACTATATCCTCCATCATCTCATACACCTGCGAGAAGGGGAAAAGGATGACGGGAGAAAAGCGGGAGGGGGAGGAAAAGAACGGGGTGTTCAGCTCTCATGTGCTATATATAATGTGCTTCCATACGCACCAGCAAAAGCAGACGCAGCAGAGGCGGACAGAGCAGAGGTAGGCAGAGGAGAGCGACAGCAGGAGATACTCACGAGGCAGACGTTGGTCATCTTGTCCTCGCTCATTCCTCTCGTGCATGCCCCAGCCACGTAACGGCAGCACTCCGCCACACGTGCTCTGATGTGCCCATCCGCTGCAGCCTGCACACATGCCTCCTCTTCCTCCTCATCTTCCCCCTCCCATTCCTGCCCCTCCTCCTCCTCCTCCCCCTCCTGCCCCAATGCTGTTGCTGCGACATCTGAACCATTAACACGCACCCAGCCATCTCCTCTTCTTGAAGGGAGAGAAGACGAGGAGGAAATGGGGGGAGTGTGGTATGCGGAGGCAGCGGCAGAGAAGCCAACGGCAACGAGAACGGTGAAGAGCTCTGCAAAGAGGTGCGATGGTGGGATGCTCTCCAGCCAGGTAAGGCTCTTTTCCCTGGAAGAGTGGAGGAGGGGAGGAGAAAGGGAGGAGGGGAGGCGGGGAGAAGGGGAGGAGGGGAGGCAGGGAGAAGGGGATGAGGGAAGGCGGGGAGAGGAAGGGAAACACAGTGTAAGCAGCCGAGGCAGGGGGGGAGGGGAGAGAAAGAAAACAGGGAGGGGAGAGAAAGAAAACAGGGAGGGGAGAGAAAGAAAACAGGGAGGGGAGAGGAGGAAATGTTAAGCAGCTGAAATAGCAGAGGCAGCACCTGCAGAGGAAGGAGTGACAAGAGCACTATCCAACCAGTACGTAAACGGAGGGAGAGCAGGGCAGCTTACGCAGCATAATCGTAGTCCACCAAAGGGGGCTGCAGAGCGATGGGCAGCGGTCGAGCGCGGTTCCAAAGCTGCTGCCACAGGTTATCTGCCAGGCACATGAGAGTAGGGCTCTCGTGAGATACAATCTTTTGACAAAGAGGACAAAATTGATGCTCAAAAACAGGATAGCGTGCAGCAGTGACAGACACAGAGCAGATCTACTCACCAGAAGCCTTCATCCGCACGCTGAGATACCCTGTCTTTTTGGGTGTACAGTCGATTCTTTCCCCCGAAGCACTATCTGCAGCCTGGCCGTGAGTCGCGGCACAGGACGAGGCACAGGGAGCCTTTGCAGCTGGAGAAATTTCAGGAGTGTAGGAGGAGGAGGAGTGGAGCGAGGCAGAGTCGCGAGTGGGTGTTTGTACAGTGGGAGGTTTTGCGGACGGTGCATGGGGAGAGGGTGAGTGGACAGAGGGCGACTGGGGGAGTGGCGACCAGTCGGGGGGCGAGTACCAGCGAACAAAGTCCTCCAAGACACACCCTGGATTGGCCGCCTGAGAAATAAACATGGTACAGAGTAAGGGAGGGGGAGAAAGAGGAGGCACAGCATGAGGGGACGAAGGATAAAAGGGCGATTGCGGGAGTGGCGACCAGTCAGGGCGAGTACCAGCGAACAAAGTCCTCCAAGACACACGCCGGGTTGGCCGCCTGTGGGGGGAACGGGTTGGATGAATGAGAGGGAGGGAGAGGAAGAGAGGGCACAGAATGAGAGGACGCACGGCATAAACAGGGACATGTTACAGCATGAGAGTCGTTTGCGGGCGCTTGCATACGTCCACCGTGCATCATGGATGACTGGTTTGCACGTTTCGCATACAATGCATAGCTGCCACACTGCGCTGCTGCTCACCTTGAAGGATTGCATGTCTGAAAAGAGTTGCTTGTGACCAGTCCCAAAGCTGCACACAGCACAAACACACATCAAGGCCAGGAAAACGCACAAGAAAGAAGGTTAACATAAGCTGCAATGCTAGGCTTGACCCTTGCAGAGAAGATGAGGGATTTGAGACAGCACTCGCTTGCTGACCACCTCCCATTCATCACTTGTGTGCATGATAAGCTCTTTGCTCCCTCTTCTCTCCCTGCTATGGCACACACTCGACACTGTCATCATCAGCCCGCTCTGAAGCCACATTTACGCGTTACTCGCTTCTCCCACTCACCTCTTTGTACGCATTATAAGCTCCTCGCTCTCCCGCACACTAGACTCGGTCATCAGCGGCCCGTCCTGAGTCACAGGGATGCACAGAGGCTCGCCTGTCTCCAGCAGCCGTAGGCTCTTCGACTGCTCCTTCACGCCTCTCCGCAGCACACGCCTCCCTGATTGCACCCGCGCATAGCATGCGTCTAGGTGATACTCTGCTGCTGCTGCCCCTGCCGCTGCCCCTGCCACTGCCCCTGCAGCTGCCCCTGCCGCTGCCCCTGCCACTGCCCCTGCTGCTGCCACTGGCGCTGCTTGTGCTTCTGCTCTGCTGCCTTCCTGCCCAGCATGCACCCCTGGTGGGTGATTCCCGCATGGCAGGGAGCATGTGTCACACAGGAACAGGTGCTGACCTGGACAGTCTCGATTCCAGCACGGCCCCGCTGCCAGCTCATCATCCCCTGCACGCACACTCGCACTGCTGACCGCCCCAGATGCCACGTCATCACCAGCTGCTGCTCCTGCTGCCGTTGCTGCTGCTGCTGCTGCTGCTGCTGCCGTGTGAGCTTCCTCCAGTGGTTTTGTGATGCAATCACAGGGTTCCATGCCCCCGGCTTCAGGCACGACACATGTGCCTTCACTGCTGCAATTTGCAGATTCAGTATCTGCATCTCGAGCTCCCAGTGCTTCCAGTGTCTCCTCTGCTCTGCTCTGCTCCTCTGCTCCTCCTTGGCAAACGTCTACTCCAAAACTCGCGCTTCTCACCGCAGCAACGCTCCCTGAAGCATCACAACGATCAGAAGCACCAGCAGCACCTTCTGACAGAGATTCCCTGATCTTCCTGCTACTATCCCTATCCACACCACCACCAGTAGCACCTGTTCCTGCTGCTGTTGCTGATCCTGCTGCTGCTGAGCCTGGAAGCTTACACGCGAACCCAATAGCCTTGCGTCTGCGCTGGCGGGCGATGCAGCAGTTGAGCAGCTGCAGGTGCTGCATCACCTCGCACAGCCGCAGGTCCGGCCCGTCCCTGCCCGCTCCCACGTGCGGCACTGCCACCCCCTGCTTCCACCGCACCCGCAGCTGCAGTGAGGGGGAACACAATGGACAAAAGGGAAAGGCAATAGTTGTGAGTCAGGCGACTAAAAACCCGTCTCAGTTGAGCAGCTGCAGGTGCTGCATCACCTCGCACAGCCGCAGGTCTGGCTCGTCCCTGCCCGCTGCTACATACGGCACCGGCACCCCCTGCTTCCACCGCACCCGCAGCTGCAAGGAAAATATCGTGCGGACAGAGGACGAAGGGGAAAAAAAAAAATCAGAACAGGATGGCCTTGCTTGCGCCACAAGCTCAGCAGCCCAGCCCCCCTCTCAGGTCCACCTTGACTTGATGGCTTTGGGCCTGCAGTAACACCTCACCTCCTCAACCCCCCACCCCAGCCCCCCAATCACCGCTTGCCCTTGTCCAGGCACAGCATTAGCAACTCACCTGTTCTACCAGAGCAAGCCAGAGCTGCGCCATGTCCTTTTCCGAGGGCAGCTCCGCCATGAGCGCCGTCACCTGCGCCACAAAGCTGTCCGGATACGCCCCGTGCACTGAGTAGTGCACTGAGTGCACCAGGGCGGTCGCTCGGGTCTTCCTTAGGCCAGATTGGTTCCAAAAGCTCACCTGTTCCACGAGCGCCAGCCACAGCTGCGCCATGTCTTTCTCTGAAGGCAGCTCCGCCATGAGCGCCGCCACCTGCGCCACAAAGCTGTCCGGATATGCTCCATGCACTGAGTGCAGCAACGTGGTTCCAGAGTGGTTCCAACAGCTCACCTGCTCTACCAGTGCCAGCCACAGCTGCGCCATGTCCTTTTCTGAAGGCAGCTCCGCCATGAGCGCCGCCACCTGCGCCACAAAGCTGTCCGGATATGCTCCGTGCACTGAGTGCACAAGGGCGGTTGCTGCCGACGGGGCGGCGTCGCTCGGCTTTTCCTGCGGGGGCTTGCTGTTGCTCGTGGCGCCGTTGCTGCTGCCGCTGAGAGTGTCGCAGCTGCAATCAAAGGCAGCCTCTTCTCCTGTCATTGGAAACAACACACAAAAATGAACATCAGCCAGAGCCGTGTTGTATAGATGCTGGTGCCTAACTGCATTATGGAGGAGGGGACGGGGGAATGTAAGTGGAGGGTGGGAGGCTGCTCTCATTCATACTCTGGCCTGATATCAAGGCCAGAGACACGTTCGTCGGCCGTCAGTGGGATGTGCTTGTATCACTTTTGAGGATTACAACTCAAAAGTGATGCAAGCACGTCATTGACTTAATATAGAAAGCAGGGGCACGTTCTCGGGTCGGGTCATGTGTGGGTTCAATGGTAGGGCTGGAGGCAAATTAACATATCTTAATGGACAACAATGTCAAATAAACCTGGATAACTGGGAACTCTCAAAAGCGACCTGAAGATAAAGAAGCATGTAAAAGCCTTGGTGCTAACCTGAGCTTAGGAGCCTTTGAATAATGTCATCCGTGGTGTCAACGTCGTTTACATTCGATATGGAGGAGAGGGAGAAGGCTCGGCCAATCCCAGCTCCCACAGCCTGCGCGAGGGCAGTGCCCGGCCACTTGCCGTTGTGGTTCACCAGGTCCTTGAGCGTCGCAAACGGAGCCGAGTAGCTGCGCACACAGACGATAACGTTAACGTTAACGTCATGGAGGCGGAGGGGTTGCCTTACAGGTTGCAACGGGTATCCTCAAAACAAGTGTGCGAATCTGGATATCCAACAGGGTTCCAAAGACTTCGCCAAATCCGAGGCTAAGCAAGGTGGAATTTACTACGGTTGATGATGGTTGACGGTGGTATGCGGTGGTTTCGTCACCACCGACGTACCTGACAGCCTGGGCGAGATTCCGCAGGTGTGCAGAGGGTGGGATGTTCGGAGGATCCACGTTTCCCATGCTGCACACGCTCGTCGTCGCGCTGCAAGTGCTCCCATTCAGGTCCTGTGAATACAGTACAGTACAATGTCAATACACTACAGAAATCTGCAACTTATAATAAATTAAGTACGAGTAAGCTTCTGACTCCCGGTGCAATCAACGCTGTCGCTGGTTTTCCCTTCGACAATTTCCTTCATCGCTGCTTCTAATGCTTCATGAACTTACCCGTTCCTTAGGATGCCACATGGGAAGCGAGAAAAGCCGTCCGTGCGATCCCACACTGGCAGGGGAGCCGAGGGGGGACGGGTCCGCAGCACCCCAGTCCTCCTCGTGCTCCAATTCCAGCTCCACCTTCGCCACCACGTAGAAATACCGCTTCCAAAATTCATGTTCCGAGACCAGCCGAGGCACGAATTCCGAAAAGATTCTGCTCAGGTGATCGTCCGCCTGAAAGTAGGGACAACACAATCAACGAGTTTTGAGTTGTCTCGAAATATGAAGCTGAGACAAGAAAGGCACAGAGCACGATCGAATGAACCGCGAGATACGGACGCCGGGGCCAGAACAAATGGGTGTCGAAGTTGAATGGGTTCTATTTTGAATTCTGTAACCAATTGAGATTCTAACGGTACCTCGAGAATGGCGGGAGCAGAGAGCAACGCGCTCTCCAGATTCACGTAGTGCTCCGCGCGGTCGTCTGAAACCCCCACCATGAGAAACTTTTGGGGTTCCTGATGACATCAAAAGGCATACTTAGGATTAGGCCACGTGCGTACTTAATGACAATGAAACTCTCCCTCCTCTCAATCCCCCTCTCTCTCCCTTGAACCAAAATGATGAAGCGACCTATGCAGTTCTATACCTTTGACAGCTCAGCGACTCTTCTGCTGAGCTCTTCCGAATGGCTGGTCCTGGGGCTTGCCTTGAGCAACCACGGATAACCCCACCCTGCACATTCCCAACGGCCGAGCTCTCAGCGAAGGTTCCCGTGAAGCACTACGGAGTCGAATCGACCTACTATTCTTTGTGAGTACCATGAGAAGGCTGGGGGGGTGTTGGTGGGGATGTCGGAAGGCTGGATGGAGCCGGCGCTTCAGACGGAGGTGCGTCGCGTCTTAAATCCGTGAATGCGCGCTTAGCCTTGGTAGTTGCTACTTGAAAAGCTGCATCCACAGAGGTTCACATCTTTCAGTGAACGTCCTTAAACAGACTATGACAATCGCGAGCGGCGAAGGTAAGATAACTAACGAAAGGCTTGCTCACTCACCTGACGTGGCTTTGGAAACGAAGTCTAGGGTTGACATTTGAGAACTATCAGCGACATCAGAATTCTTCTGTTCAGTCATCTTAGCTTCCGAGCGCTTGACCTGAAGGAGTCTAACGTCGGGAATGCGAACGTTTGGGACTTTAACCTCTGGAAATCTGACTTCTGCCATCATCCTAGCCGGCGAAAACTTCGCGAACGAGCTACGCTCCTTCTGCGAAGAAGCACGTCGAAGCTCTGCGTCTCCGTTCTGATCCTTGTACCACGTGGGTAAAGTCATCCTAGCCATCTAAAGGCTGAATGACTCAATGTCAAGTGCTCTACGGGGAAACTGTCGGCAACAGCCGAATGGAGGAGGTGCGAGACTGGCGGACTGTCACGGTGGCTAGGACAGGAAAGATGTCCACCAGCATTTGGGAGTCATCTCCCCGGAATTTGCGGAGCCCTCAGTCGGTTTTGGACAGGGAAGAGAGAACCAGCTAGCATTCCACTCCGGTGGGTACTGATGTGATGTGACTGGTCATTCGAGTCAGACGTCATTGGAATTTGGGATGGAGGAAAAGGTGGAATAGCATATTGCTGGCAGGAGTAGCCATAGATGCACCTGACCTAGGTAGGTTGGAAACACGGACACACCAAAAAGTTCATGTGAAGTGCATGAATAGTCAGTGGTGACGTAAGTTTGAATATGGTGGAGAATGATGAAATGAGGTGCTGGCTAAGGCGGGAAGGGTGATGTGGTCTGGTTGGATTTGGAAAGGCAACGCACTTTTCTAAATTGCTAGGGATCTGCGTGCCCGTGACTTGGAGGGAAACGAGAGGAGCATCTTGTCCGGCAGAGTCGCCGCCGCCGTCTCTTTTGACGCCTGATATTAGACGGTTAGGTGTAGACGGGCGTCTAGATTGGAGTTGTTGGAACAGTCAGCCTCGACGCTTCCCGTCAAAGACTAGTCTGTCAGCGATGACAAAACGTCAGCTCTTGCAGCCGTCGTGTCACTCCGACACATTGCCGACAGTCGCCAGAGTTAGCCAGCGTGATCTGCGGTAACTGGGACCGCAGATTTGTTTGCTGTCTTACGACTGGTTTGGTTGGTGAGCCGTGGAGAGGAACTGCACCGAACCGAAGCTCCGTGGTTCCTCCACACCGAAACCCATCCGACCCGGCGACGGCGGTGACGGAATGGTTTCCAAATACACCTGATGCCTGTTTGAGCCCCTCCCGGTTGCCTTATGAAGGGGGCGTATAAGCTGTCACGAGCATTTCGCATAAGTTTCGTCAATTCGCAGCTAGCTAAAAAGGATTCGCATGTGCTTATAAACAAGACCAGTTTGACTTCAGTCTCTTCTGCTTGACTTCGGTCTGTTCGTTACTATTGGTTGATAACCACGCGACGCGCTTGTAACGTGGGTGCAACAGGCTGGGGAAAAAACCTCGGGTGCAGCGTTTCCATCCTGCGTAGGGCAAATTCGCGTGCACTGGCTGGGCATCATGTGTAATTCGTTTCCCGCCATGAGTGTGACTTGTTGGTACTCAACAACCTCGTTTTCTGGTCAATGTAGTACAGTGATGCTTTTGAGTATACTAAGAAGTTTCTTTCGTTACAGCCTGGCTCACCACTGCCTGCTCCTTCTCCTTACACTGTGCAGACAGGAGGTTCTGCTGAGCGTCGTGAGCCTGCGTCTCGTCCTGTCTCGCCTGTTCGCACTGGTCGTACTGGTCGTCGTGTTCCTCGTCCGCGTCCGCCGGCTGTCCCCGGCACGCACCTTATGACCCTTCGTCCTTCCTCTGCTCCACAGCGTGTTCCCCTGCCGTCTCCTCCTGCGTCTTCTCTGCCTGACGTTCCGGACCCTGAGTCTGACCGCGCTCGTGCTGCTCACCCTACTGTCACGCGTCTGCTTGCCACTGTTGTCACTGACCCTTCGTTTGAGTCCACTGCTGCGTCTGCTTTAGTCGCTGAGCTTGTTGACTTTGCTACTGCCTGTCGTCTAGACTACGCTGCTAGTCTTGTTGCTGAGTCTGAGTCTGTCTGTCCTCCGTCCGTCGGGGGTGAGTGTGCTCTTGGCACGGACGTCTTTGAGGACAGGCACGAGGACCTTGAGTGTCTTGCGGCTGCTGCGCCTCATCTCGTGGCCATGCTGCTTGCCCCTGAGGGAGACCCGGATGCACCAGACATCCCGACCCCGCGCTCTTACGCTGAGGCGATCGCGGGTGAGTACTCCTCTCAGTGGCAGACAGCCATGGACGCAGAGATGGCATCCTGGAAGTCCACAGGCACTTACGTCGATGAGGTTCCCCCTCCTGGGGCGAACATCGTCGATGACATGTGGATTTTCAGGGTGAAGCGGCCGCCGGGTTCTCCGCCTGTCTTCAAGGCTCGTTACGTTGCCAGAGGCTTCAGTCAGCGTGAGGGAGTTGACTTCTTCCAGACCTTCTCCCCTACCCCGAAGATGACCACTCTTCGGGTGCTGCTGCACGTTGCCGCTCAGCGTGACTACGAGCTTCACTCTCTTGACTTCAGCACAGCCTTCTTACAGGGCAGCCTGCACGAGGAGATATGGCTGCGCCGTCCACCTGGCTTCACTGGGTCGTTCCCTCCTGGTACCCAGTGGAGCCTCCGGCGGCCAGTCTACGGTCTCCGTCAGGCGCCTTGTGAGTGGCACGACACACTGAGGACGACGCTTGCGGCTCTTGGGTTTGCTCCTTCGACTGCTGACCCATCGCTGTTTCTGCGCACCGACACTTCGCTGCCGCCGTTCTACATCCTCGTGTACGTCGACGACTTGGTCTTTGCCACTGCTGACACTGAGGCTCTCGCTCAGGTGAAGTCGGAGCTGCAAAAGAGACACACGTGCACAGACCTGGGTGAGCTGCACAGCTACCTTGGCTTGCAGATCACCCGGGACAGAGCACGCCGCACCATCACCCTGACTCAGTCACACATGGTGCAGCAGGTCCTTCAGCGCTTCGGCTTCTCCTGGTCCTCCCCACAGGCCACTCCTCTGGCTACAGGTCACTCGCTCTCAGCTCCACCTTCGGACGAGTCCGTAGAGCCGAGTGGTCCTTACCCAGAGTTAGTTGGCTGCCTCATGTACCTGATGACCTGCACTCGACCTGACCTCGCATACCCTCTTGGACTTATGGCTCATTACGTGGCTCCTGGCAGGCACCGAAAGGTGCCAATGGATGCTGCCAAGAGGGTGTTGCGCTACCTGTGCAGTACATCAGGCATGGGGCTCGTGCTTGGAGGACGGAGTGAGGTGGTCCTCACTGGGCACTCAGACGCGTCTTGGGTTGACGACCAGACTACACAGCGGTCGTCGCAGGGTTACACCTTCAGCCTTGGCTCTGGCTCTGTTTCTTGGCGGTCTACACGCTCGTCTTCTGTTCTCAGCTCCAGTTGTGAGGCTGAGATCTACGCCACCGCCATGGCTGCACAGGAGCTACGCTGGCTCACCTACCTGCTGACTGACTTGGGTGAGCGGCCTCGTTCTCCTCCAGTTCTGTACGTTGACAACAAGGCGGCCATTGCCTTGTGTGAGGAGCACAGACTGGAGAACAGAACGAAGCACATCGCTCTCCGTTACTTCCTGGCTCGAGAGTTGCAGCAGCGAGGTCAGCTTCGTCTTCGTCACGTGGCCACTCGGGCCAACACTGCTGCCATATAGGGTACAACCCAAATTAGGGTTTCCTACTTGTACCCATCATGCTGCTAGTTCATTCATTCCTGCTTGCTATCTTGACAACTGGGACAGGTGGGACTGGTGGGCTTGCTGGGTTCGGTTTGTTTGGTGGTGGGGTGGTGGTTGGGGGTTGGGAACGGGATGGTGGGGTGGCGGGGAGGGTGCGGAAGGAGGAAAGGAAGGGAAGGAGGGGAAGGAGGAGACGGGAGAGGCGGGGTGGGCCGGGTTTGAAGGGTTGGCAGATGTGGCATGGGGGATGGTGTGGGGGGGAAGAGGGGATGGGGGTGGGGAAGGCAAGGCCGAGGAGGATACGAAAGAGGGGGTGGTGGATGAAGGTGTAGATAAGGCCCAGGAAGAAGAACTGCCAGTGTGCAGAGGGGGGTGAGGAGGTCGATGAACAGATGGCAGGAGAGGGGGCAGTAAGAGATGGTTGAACCAGGTTCTTCTTGGAGTGGAAGAAATACGGTACAAGCGAAGGTTTCTGCATTTTTGGGTGAATCGTAAATAATGTTGGTCATGGTCGTAAGACTTTCATCTACCGTTATGTGCTTTAGTACAGGCAACTAGTGCCTATACAGTGAGTTTGTTATAGTAAGCATTACATACGTCATGTTTATGTCCATCACGTAATGTTAATGTATATGTATATTATTTATATGTGTTAACAGTATGTTGGTTATATTGTGAGAAGCACTTGCATGCGTGGATTGAAACAAATGTTGTGTGTTAAAATTTCCATCTCAAGATTTGGCCGCCATAGGACGACGAAACAGTAGCATTCACAGAAGGCTTAACATGCTGCGAGTTACAAGGCCTACATCCAGGTTGCTGATAGTTGAAGTAACACGAGAAGAACAGCAGCAGGTAACACAATGAGTTAATAGTGTGTCAAGTCAATGAATGGATTACCGTATGAAAACCTATCTGCCCTTGCAACAATTTCCAACCCATCCTGGGATCCTATGTCACCCACCTCACTTCGCTCCTCCCTCTCCTGCAATTCCCCCAGTATCTCCCTCCTCAACTCCTTTCTCATAACATTTCCCCTCCTTTTCTGCAGTCAACCCCTTCTCTCCTTCCATTGCCTCTTCCCCTTCTTCCTGATCCCCCATACCCTTATCAAGAGCCGTACCCTTACTCCCTTCCTTCTCCTCCTTTGCCTCCTCCCCACATCCATTCCCTCCTCCTCCCCACATCATCCCCCGTGCAGCATCCACCAACCCTTCAAACCCCAGCCACCCCGCCTCTCCCGTCCCCTCTTTCCTCTCCTGCCCTGCTCCCTCTCCTGCACCCCACCACCCCGTTCCCAACCCCCAACCCCCATCCCCACCACCAAACAAACCAAACCCAGCAAGCCCACCGGTCCCACCTGCCCCAGTCCCACCTCCCCCTGCTGCACCCTCCATCAGCTTCTCCAGCCCAATAGGCGGTATAGGGGGGGAGTACCTGGGCAGGCTCAGCTTGGCTTGCTTCAGTTGGGAATCCATGACAGGCTTGGGGGTGGAGGGGGGGCGCCAGAATTCTCTGGAAGCTGAGTATACTGCTACTGCTGCTCGGATCGACTCTCCGGGGGACACTGGCGCTGCCACTGCCGCCGCTGCTGCAGACAGGAGGGAACCCACACCTCCGTCGCTGTTTGCCCTCTCACACCTCCTCGCTTGCCTCTTGTTTCTCTCCTCCTTGCTCCCCTCGAGAATCCCTTCGTTGTTCCCAAGGCACTGGTAGTTTTCCCCGCCACTTTCCCCCGTGTTTTCCCGATCCTTTCGGCCTGCCATGCCCTGCAAAAGAGCAGTCTCTTGTTGGTGCTCCAGCATTGCTCGCTCTTGAAAGGAGAGCAGCGAGCGGGAGATGCGCAGCGAGCGAGGGAGCGACCGCTTGGTCCAGTGGGGCAGGCCGGGCACAAAGAGGCCCCCTGTGGGGGTGGAGGCATGGGGCAGGGAGAAGGAAGATGATGCACCCATGCTCTCATGCCATCGCCTCAACCGAGACTCAAGTGACTCCTGCCCCTCCTTCCCTCCCTCCGCTTCTTCACCCGCTGCTGCTACTGCCTCGTCGTCCCCTGCTACTGCGTCTTCTGCTACTGCTGCTATTGCCTCTTCAGCTGCTGCTGCAGGTGCAGCTTGTGGTTGTCCGATGCCGAATGGTATGCCCTCAATATCAGGGCAGCTGGACGTGCGGTGGAACCTTCTAGAAGCACCCAGCCGTGGTGCTGCTGTTCTCCTTGGCAATTGGGGTGCAACAGAGTGGGTTGTTAGGCCTGCTTCTCTTCCTGCTCCTTCTCCTGCCAATGTTCCCTCTGCTCCTTCTCCTGCAAATGTTCCCACTGCTCCTTCTCCTGCTCCTGCTGCTGCTCTTGTGGATGCTTCTACAGCCGCTACAACGGAGGAGTAATCTGTAACTGCAACTGATGATGCTGACCATGCCTCTGCACCTGCAGCTGTTTTATACGCATGATCACTGCCTGCAGAGCAAGCATCAACCCCCTCTGCAACAGCAGCCCGTCTAGTCGAACCAGGGCTGTCAAGGTGGGAGGAGAGGATGATGGGCACAGGCGAGACGTCACACACACTCAGAATGCGCTCACACACCAAGCTTGCACTGCCCACGCTCCCCACGCTCCCCATACTGTCACGGCGACGCAAGGTCGGAACAAAGGTCGATTCAAGGGCGCGTTCGAAGGTGCGTTCACATGCGACACTAGCACTTCTGCGGTGTCGCATTGGTCTGCCGACTTGAGTTTCAGGAGAGATAGTGGGACCCCCTCTGCCTTGGATACTCCTTTCCACCCTGCTGCTCCTGTATGCTCTCCTGCTACAGCCGGCCCCCATGCTCCCTTCTTCCGTTCTGGCAGTGCTCTCCCGTAAAGCATTCGATGGGGTATCATCCCCATAAACACACTCGCCAAGGGCTTCGTTATAAGAACACACACCACCGCCATCCTCCTCGCTGTCACCACCACCGGCAACAAGCTCCTCAAAATAAGAACGTACGATTTCGGAGCGCTGTGAGTCACCAGGATGAGTCGAGAAGTTGTAGCTCAAATCCATCCATGAAACTGTGTTTTCTTCTCGTGCCGTGCTGTCTTGTGCCGTGCTGTCTCGTGCTGCTGTCGCGTGGGGCTTCGGAGCACATCCCTCCTCTACCTCCTTTTGAGTCGACTCAAAAGCAGACGAGAAGTTGTAACTCAAATCCATCCATGAAACCGTGCTCTCTTCCCGTGCCGTGTTGTCTCGTGCCGCTGCTGTATGGTGCTTCGGAGCACATCCCTCCTCTACCTTCTTTAGAGTCGACTCAAAAGCAGACGAGAAGTTGTAACTCAAGTCCATCCATGAAACCGTATTTTCTTCTCGTGCCGTGTTGTCTCGTGCCGTTGCTGTTTGGTTCTCCTGAGCACATCCCTCCTCCTCTGCCTTCTCCTCACAGGCAAATCCACCAACGTACCCACCCCCTGCCTCTTTTTGAGCTCCTGCTGTTCCTGCGATGATAGAAGCAGCAGCGGTGAGGGCAGCATCGGCATCAGCAGCTGCTACAGCTGCTGATTTGATATCTCTGCTGCTACTGCTTCTGCTGCTGCTGCTGCTGCTGCTGCCAACGGGCCAAAACGAGGTGGTAACTGGTGAAGGGGAGGCATCAACTGGGGAAGGGGAGGCATCAACTGGGAAAGGGGTGGCGTTAACTGGTGAAGGGGAGGCGTTAACTGGTGAAGGGGAAGCATTAGCTGGTGAAGGGGGGACATCAACACGGGACGGAGAAGAGTCAACTGGGGAAGGGCAGGGCGGGGTGAGGCAAATGAGGGACGCCAGGTGAGCTGCTGCCGAGGCTCTCACAGCCTCATAGCCCCCATGCCATACCTCCTCCCCTTCTGCCCCCTGCTGCAACCCCTGCTGCAACCCCTGCTGCAACCTATCTTCCAGGCCCTGCCCTTCTGCTGCTTGCTGCAACTTCTGCCCTTGTACTGCCTGCTTCAACCTCGCTTGCAGCTTCAGAGGCAGCTTCAGCTGCAGCAGCGGCTCTTCTCCCTCCAGTCCATGCTGTTGCTGCAACGGCAGCTGCTCTCTCCCAGCACCACTATTCAAGTCAGCAGCTGCTGCACCACCATCACCATCAGCACTACCTGAATCAGCAGCAGCAACAGCAGCAGCAGCAGCAGCAGCAGCAGGCGGTTGCTTGCACCTCTCAGCCGATTGCAAGGTAGCAGCAGCTTTTGCTCGCTGCCTTCGCATGAGACGAGAAGAGCAGCTGCTCATCTCAGGCTGGGAAGGCCGAGCGCCAGGAGAAGACACCTGCTGCACATTTTGGGGCGACTTTTGGGGCGATGTCCCTGCCAAACTCTGGCCCCACTCAAATGCTCCCGCCACGTTCTGGGGTGAGTTTTGGGGTGAATTCACGGGGGGATTTCGGGGCAAGTTGCGCCCCCACTGAGACGTTCCATGGTGGGCCGGTGAGTCGGTACAAACCTGTGAGCTGCGAGGGACTCTGGGACTCTTGGGAGGGAGACGGGGCACCGGCCTTGGTTGAGCCTCCTGTCCTTCCCATGCCGCTGCCACCGCCGCTGGCGCTGCCACTGCTGCTCCTTGCACTTGTGCTGCTGCTCCCTTGGACGCCTGAAATCTCTGCAATTTCTCTAACTCCTGCAACTCCTGCCATTCCTGTGATTCATCCAATTCAGGTTCTTCTTGCAGCAGCAGATCCAGATCGCTCGAGGAGCCAAAAAATGCTTGCTGGTTGTGACTCGAACCATAGGCTCGCTGCAGCATTGTGAACGACCGGCTCCTCCTGTGCGAGCGAGAGACGGGACGTGGGGCGGACGTGGGAGAGCGACCCAAACCTCCTGCCCCTCCTGCTCCTCCTGCTCCTTCTACCCATCCTCCACTGGCCACGTGATACCCGTACTGCATGGTTGAAGGGGAGGTTTGGAAGGGAGACGTGTGCGTGGGGGTGAGGGTACGGGATACCCTTCTGCTGCTGCTGTTGCTGCTGCTGCCGTGACTGCTGACGCTCATGCTGTCGCTGCGTCCCACGCTGCTGATATCGCCGCTGCTGCCCCCAGGCATGTACACGCTCCTGCTGCTGCTGCAGGCGCTGCTGCAGGCGCTGCTGCTGCTGTTGGGATTGTAAACACTGCTGCGAGGCCGATGACGACGCAGTGGGGCAGGGTAGACGGGAGTAGTGTGCACGGGAATACCATACACATCTGGCTGTGGAGGTGGAGAGGCGGTGTGTGTTGAGTGCTGAGAGGAGGCTGCAGCAGCAGCAGCAGCGTATGGGCTGTGCTGTGGTGAATCGTGCCGGGGCCGCTCAGTGTTGTCAGAGAGAGCACGCTTGAAGCGAGCCAACACGTCCGTGCTGCCATCAGGAAGGAATGGACTGCTGCTCGGATAAAGGGCGTCCTCAGAAAGAGGCGGGGGTCGCTCGGGTTTGTCAGAGAGAGCACGCTTGAAGCGAGCTAACACATCTGTGCTGCTGTCGGCATTGTTGGAGAGAGGCATGGTGAAGTCAGCGTAAACTTCGTCGTCATGGTGGTGATGGTTGGATGAGTATGGGAGGTCGAAGAATGCCTCTCCTGCATCATCAGCATGAGGATCATCGAAATCAACATCATATTCAGCACCAGCAGCAGCACCAGCAGCAGCAGCGGCATCAAAGTCAGCATCAGCGTCAGCACCACCAGCAGCAGCAGCAGCAGCAGCCAGAGAGCGAAACGAGCCCCCGGAAGCAGGCCCAGCAGAATCCAGCCCCATAAGTGAACGGGAATCTGGTGAAGGCAAGATCTGGCTAGCTGGAGCATCTGCAGATGCTCCCTGTGTGCTGTTCTTGTTCTCGCTCTGGCTCTGGCCTTTTCCTCGGCTCTTCCCAAACAGCTTCAGCACTGCTTTCAGCACCCCTCTCTTGCTGCTGCTCTTCTCACCACCACCACCGCCACCACCACCACCTCCCGCTGTCAGTTTTGGTGACGCGTTGCTGCCATAAGCTGCTTCATCCTTCGCGTCCCGTGGACTTGAAGCCGTGAGAGCACCACCAGCACCAGCAGCGCCACCAGCACCACCAACAGCAGCTTTGGAACTCATAAACAGCTCCTTTTGCACCCTTGGGGTCATGAGCCGTAGCTCAGTTCGTGCCCTCGGAAGGGCCTTGGGCACATCATTGCCTGCTTCAGAGGTCTTGGGCACATCATTGCCTGCTTCAGAGGTCTTGGGCACATCATTGCCTGCTTCAGAGCTCTTGGGCTGCTCGCTTCTTGTTGCTGGCGACTTGCGCAGCGCGCTATCTTCTTCAGCCGTTCTCGGCGTTTTCGGCGTTCTCGGCGTTTTCGGCGTCCTCGGCGTTTTTGGCAGCCCGCTGCGTCTCTTTGACGCCCCGGAAACATCAGATCCTGCCCTCAGCGACTTGGGCAATCCATCACTCCCTTTAGGTGTATCAGGCAGCAGAACTGCGCCAATCTCCCCCGACTTGCCACACCTTTCCAGCCTTCCAACTCTGGCAGGTGGTTTTTGGGACTCCCGTTCGGTTTGAGCGGAGACTGTCCGCCGGTAGTCGTACCTCCCTCCTCTCGCAACGGGCATGGGAGAGGCGCTTACATTTCCAGCTTCCCTGGACGCTCCACACCCTTCCAGCTTCCCAGTCCTCTCTGCTGCGGTAGCAGGTGGGGTAGCAGCCAGCCGATTCGCGTCATACTTGCCATCTCTCATAGGTTGTTTTTGAGACTCCCTTTCGGTCTGAGCAGAGATTGACCGCTGAAAGTCGTACCTCCCTCCTTTCCCAGCGGGCATGGGTCCGGGGGAGGGCAGGGAAGAGAGAGAGGGAGAGGCCATACCCGGGGGAGGTTTCAAGGGAGGGTAAGCGGAATCGGGAGACGCGGAAGGGATTGCTGGGGGAGTGGTTGAGGGTGAAGCGTCGGGGAGAGGAGGGGGGATGAGGACGTGAAGGGTAGCAGATCGAGTCATACGCTGGCTGCTTCTGGTGATGCTGTTGCTACTGCTGCTGTTGATGCTGCTGCTGCTCCTGCTGCTGCTGCTGCTGCTGCTGCTGCTGCTGCGGATTGCGTTGCGATTCCCACTACCACCACAAGCACCAATGTCAGTGTTGCTTTCATCAAAGCTGAAGCTGATGCTGCTGCGTGATCGGCCATGTCTGCCTCTCTGCCCGGCTGCTGCTAGACCCGCCTTGGGCACTTCACCCACCTCTTGACAAGCCTCCTGAACCACCCCTTGATCAGACTCGACAAGGTTGAAAAACACAGACCTAGAGCCTGCTTGTTTGTGGGAGGAGGAGGAGGAGGACGAGGAGGGCGAGAAGGGCAAGAAGGCACCCGGGGGGCGGCGAGGGGTGAGAGCCGGCATGGGGGGGCACGGCAAGGGGGAGGGTGTGAGGGGCTGCAGGAAAGCAGAGACGGTGCGAGTCAAAGGGGAGGGGGTGAGGGGTTGGCGGAGGACCGAAGAGGAGGAGCGTTGTAAGGGGGAGGGTGAGTCCAGGAGCGTTCCAGTGGCAATCTCAAGAGCACAGGACGACGACGATCGCCAGTGCCTGGTCAATCTTCTCCCCTCCTGCTGCGGCGTCACCTGCTGCTGCGCCTGTTTCTCCTCCTGCTGCTCCTTCCCCTTCTGCTGAGGCTGTTTCTCTTGATGCTGCTGCTGCTGGCGCTGCTGCTGCCACCGCTCCTTCATGCGCGCCAATCCTCCCCACTTCTGCGCCTGCTGTTGCTGTTGCTGCTGCTGCTGCTGTTGCTGCTGCTGCTGCTGCTGCTGCTGCTGCTGCTGTTGCTGCTGCTGCTGCTGCTGCTGCTGCTGCTGCTGCTGCTGCTGCTGCTGCTGCTGCTGCTGTTGCTGCTGCTGCTGCTGCTGCTGCTGCTGCTGCTGCTGCTGCTGCTGCTGCTGCTGCTGCTGCTGCTGTTCCGTATCATCACACTCTTGCCGCCCTTCTTCACCTCCTCTCTCCCATCCACCACCCCCACTATCACTCTCACTTGCACCATCTGCTCGCTCGTCAATTCGATTTGAAAGCTCGCCAGCATAATTCACTAAATTCTCGAGCTTGATAGAAATGCCCTGCTTCCGCATGCCATAACGGCTGGGCTCCGAGCCTGACCTTCGGAATACGCGTAGCTTCCGAGCCTGACCCACCGGCTCGGCAACAGCGTCAGTCGAGGCAGCAGCAGCACCAACAGCAGCGGCAGGTACGGATGCAGGTTCGGCGAAGGGCACACGGGCGAATTCAGAGATGGCGTTGGTGAGAGCAGCGGAGGCCGTTTCCTCTGCGAGCTGCCTCAGATCCTTCAGTGCAACGCCGCCCCTCTCAATGCTGCTGCTAGTGTTGGTGCTTGTAGCGGCGATACTGCTGCAGCAGCGGCTATGGCGGTGGCAGTGCGACCAGGCGGAATGGGCGGCGCTGATGGCGGCGATGGTGCGATGCAAGGGCGCTGGCTTCTCACGACCCGCGATGGTGCTGGGCAGATCGACTGGGAGGGGTTGGACGGGGTGCGTGAGTGGGGGAAAGGTAGGAGGGGGGAAAGGAAGAGAGGAGTTGTGGGGGACATGGGGGAGGATGCGGAAGGGGCGCGGGAGAGGGAGGATCAGGGGAGCAATGGGGACGGGTGGAAGGTGAGTGAGAGAAAAGAGCAGGTGGGCACAGATGGGTGAACCAGAAACTCAAGGCGCAAGCAAGGAGTTGAGGTGAGGCGAGGTGACGTGACGTGAGGTGACGTGTGCAGTGCAGACGTCCATTTGTGAGGGAAGAACGCTTGCTCATGTCAGAAAGGAGGCTCCACTTACACACGGTGTTACACTTGTAGTATTTCAGCCACTCCACGATTTCGCGCAGCTTCGCCTCCAACCAAACCGGGTAACCGCTTCGCGTATCCAGCAGCGCCGCAGCCATCGGATCTGACGAATCGACGGCCACGATCTTCCAGGAGGACTTGAGATCGGGGCTGACGACGAGGAACGCGAGCAGCGGCTTCACCGGATACACCTGCCCCACTCGAGCCTCTCCGATCCCGATTTCGATCACCTCCAGCGGCGCATGATGCTCGTCGCTCGCCCTGTCGCATGCATTGTCGCACATGGTCGCGCATGTCGCCGCGTCGCATGCCTTGTCGCCAGATCCAGACAAGGGATCCGCTCCGCCGTTGTCGCCTTGGCGACAGGAGCACGTCTGCGGGATGATCCCGAGGTTCCAATCGAGATTGTGACTGTAATGAGCGGGTAAGCCGTCCACCTGGCGGACGCGCAGAGGGTGCCACGCCTCGTTACAAGCCGCCTCGATTTGCACCCACGAGTTACGCGGCGTGCAGCAAACCATAGAAATGCTGCCGCCCGCCATAAGCCCATCCCGACCCGCCGCTTCAAGAGCGAATCCGCCGCCGCCGCCGCGAGATAAAGCTGAGTCAGCAGGGCAGATCGGAACGTCATTCCACGTGGAGATCGGGTGGAGGATCGTGGCGTCCTCCTGATCGCGCCCAGACTGATTGGTAGAATTCGGCAAAGGTGAAGACGAAGACCAAGATTTGTTGGACGCGGTAACAGCACCAGGTGCGGTGGAGGTGAAAGCGGGAGGGTCGGACAGGAGAAATCCCCGGTAAAGCACGGATCCGGGGAGGCCGAACTCGATATAATCACAAACCTCCATGGCTGCTATCGACAATTCTAGGGAAATCGCGTGCGCGACCGAGTTACTTGATGCAAAGAAACGTCAGATACCAGAGGAGGAGTGTGTGCCTGAGGGCTAGCACGGCTGATGAACAACTGGGGGTTTCGTGATCTCGAGGTTACTACCCGACTTTTACATAGAGCCGTTATTACTGTAACTTGGGCTGTACTTGGAGAGAGTTATTGTAGGCCGCCAGCTGGACTGAGATTGAGAACTGGAATCGGCTACTAGTCTTCTCCCTCTCCCGTTGAGAACCACCCAACGTAAGGAAATGAGTAATGTGCAATGCTTCGACCCATAAAAAGGCGTCTCTCCTGATCGGTCCGGGACCACGAACCAGACTCTGTCCGAACGTTGTGTTGTGTGACTCGAGAGGCACCGGGAGCCTCTCGTTCCACATCCGAGGCGCCTCAAGGCTATTTTCCAAACACGTCAAAAAAATGTGCGGTTCGTAAGAATCTCCGATCCAGCCTCTAATTCCAAACCGTTTGATCACGACATGCATCTTGAACGCATCTTGACCCCGACAACCAATCATATTGCGCAGCGGTCCGCGGGAGCGATGGAGGTGTGACATTACCAACGACATCTACACGACTTGACGGTCGCTGATTCGTGCACTGGCGGTGGAGGAACGGACCGTCAACGTTGTTCGTGTCAAGGAGTTCTCCAAGGAAAAACGACTGGGCTCCGGATTGGTAAAAAAGCCGCGCCGTGAGCTGCAGGTTGCATCGCACGACCACCACCACACGCCGTCGCCTTGACAGGCAGGCAGGCACACGCCATCGCCTCGCCAGTGCCTGCGACAACCAGTGCGAGCCGACGCAAGCTGCGACGACGCCATGGAACGGCCATCGCGTTGACAACCTTGAGTGCCAGGCTGGCGACCTTAAGTTTCTGCCTATACGCGGCGAGGCGACAACCAGTGCCAGCCGCAGGCTTCAAGCAACGACAACGCCATGGAGCGGCCATGGCGTCGTCAGGCACCGGCGACAATAAGTGCCAGGCTGGCGATCTCGAGCTTTCTGCCAATACCGGCGAGCGACACTCATCGCTTTGGACAACTCGTGGTCGTTCAAGCTGTCGTTTTACTTGCTTTGTCTCTCTTCCTCTCTCGCTTGCTCAATCACTATCGAGAAGATCTAGATGCAGGCGTGAGATGACGACGCGGGAGTCCGTGCCACTTTTCGTCGCAGTCTGTTTCTAGAGGCATCGCGATGGCCGGCACCATCCGATGATCGCAAAACCCAGGGTCCAAACGTTTCAAAGGTAGGAAGGATGGTTGGACTTTGTGACAAAACCAAAGGTAGGAAGGTTGGTTGGACTTTGTAACCCAACCAAAGGTAGGAAGGATGAGGCAACTTTGTACACGTACTTGAGACTCCGGTTCAAGACAACAAGACAACAAGACTGATCTTGGTGTTCAAGACAACAAGACTGATCTTGTCTCCCACGATGTGTCGCACGACTTTGTTGCACGACATAGCAGTATATACGGCACAGATAGCACACGCTAATGTCCTCTATGGTACATTTCAAGAACACCAGGTAGGCGGTGCTCATTTCAAGAACACCAGGTAGGCGGGCGGCATGTGAGTGAAACGAGTTTTGAGCATTTCGCCACACTCGCCCTTGTCGCCACGGGCAAAAATGTGATTGTAAAACGAAATTGGAATGTGAAACGAGTCTAGGGGTTTAAGTTCGTAACCAGGTAAACAATTCTGATGACAGGCAGCCGTTGTTGTTTATGAACTGTAGATGTTTTTCTTCCTCGACTTGGTGACTGTACCCCGAAATCAGCACAATCACCACTCACAGGCAAAACGTTCGCGAGTGACTGATTTTCTAATTGTCAAGAGCAAATGTTTGTGATAGGCTGAGCGTCGACTGTAGCCTCGGCTCGCCTAAACTCGCGACTTTTGTACGCACTGTGCAGAAGGAATCTACGTGTACAACGGCAAGTTTTGAATTGGGCATTTATCTCGGCGGTAACACTCATCGGGCTCGATTGCACGCAAGGTAAGCCACGTGTCTAAATCGTAACAAAAGTATCTTCTAGTTGCCTACATGGTAACCAACATTGCACATCTGGTCACCATTTTTTCCAGACTGGTAATGAACAGTGCATTCCGATTTCCAAACTGGTAACTCGTCGAAACAACCGTGATGTACACCGTACGTACCTTGTATGACTCGGATTTGAACGTACAACACAACCAAGCTCCAGTCACAGCATAATTCCCTTGCCCAAATCGTCCCGCTACCTCCGAACCCTAATCACACCAACAAATTAGTTGTCACCCTCGTGAGCGCTGATCTGTCGACTATGGAGCGCAGCGCCCCATATAGGTATGTTTCCGACCCGTGGTCTTCACGCCGTATTCATTGTAGTGTGCCCTTATATTTCCGTACACGAGCATGGCGCCGCAATCAGCGCTGCGCCATGCAGCCAAGGCATGGCGCAGCCCACAAATGCGCCATGCCAAGGCATGGCGCCACAATCGGGGCTGCGCCATGCAGCCAAGGCATGGCGCAGCCCGCAAATGCGCCATGCCAAGGCATGGCGCCACAATCGGGGCTGCGCCATGCAGCCAAGGCATGGCGCAGCCCGCAAAGGCGCCATGCCAAGGCATGGCGCCACAATCGGGGCTGCGCCATGCAGCCAAGGCATGGCGCAGCCCGCAAATGCGCCATGCCAAGGCATGGCGCCACAATCGGGGCTGCGCCATGCAGCCAAGGCATGGCGCAGCCCGCAAATGCGCCATGCCAAGGCATGGCGCCACAATCGGGGCTGCGCCATGCAGCCAAGGCATGGCGCAGCCCGCAAATGCGCCATGCCAAGGCATGGCGCCACACTCGGGGCTGCGCCATGCAGCCAAGGCATGGCGCAGCCCGCCAATGCGCCATGCCAAGGCATGGCGCCACAATCGGGGCTGCACCATGCAGCCAAGGCATGGCGCAGCCCCCAAATGCGCCATGCCAAGGCATGGCGCCACACTCGGGGCTGCGCCATGCAGCCAAGGCATGGCGCAGCCCGCAAATGTGCCATGCCAAGGCATGGCGCCACACTCGGGGCTGCGCCATGCAGCCAAGGCATGGCGCAGCCCGCAAATGTGCCATGCATGTAGCAATGTTTGCAACATTTTTATGTCTTGTTCGTTTACCGTCTTCCATGTCTGTGTGTACTTCCATTAGCATATGCAATTGTTGACCGTCTATTTATAATGTGCCGTGCTCCATTTTCTCCGCAGTGTGTTGGTGCAGAACAAGAGTGAGCTCAACTTGTCGATGGGGCATGTGTTTGCGAACGTCGTTGAGGCGCGTAGGCATATTCGCATGTATGCTCGTCAGGAAAGGTTCGAACCTCACTTTCACTATAATAAAGCTGATTGTGTCGATGTGCGCTGCCGGTCTATGAAGGGGGTTGCGTGGCCCGCTGAGGGTGTGCCTAAACCGGACGGGTTCTGTCCAATTCGTATTTATGCGCGAGGTCCTAGGGATGGGAAGTTTAAGATCAGAGAGCTTCATCTAGAGCATGCCGATATGTGTGTTGTATGTCCTGCTCGGATTAATGTGGAAGAGGTCAAGGATATCGCCCGTGAGTTTGTCGCGCATGGTACGATGAGTCCCAGTGGTTTGAGAGATAAGGTGAAGGAGGTTTATGGCGTCTCATGTTCATACAACACTGCGAGTCGTGCACTTCATCAGCTTGAAAAGGAAGACGTGTTGTCGGGGGATGAGGGATTCGAGTATTTTGAGATGCTATTGTCTATGTTCAAGGAGCTTAACCCAACGTCGCGAGTGTCTATGGTGAAGGATGGGGACAAGTTTTTTCGTGCTGGGTTAGTGTTCCCTGGCGTTCGCACTGCATTGTTGAACTGTTTTCATATAGTGTTCGCGGATGGCTGTCATAACAAGACAAGGTGGGGCGGACAAACACTTAACCTGTGTGCTCTTGATTGTGAGCACAAGCTTGTGCATCTAGGGATTGCATGGGTTGAGGGTGAGACGAAAGAAGCATGCAGTTTCATTTTCCAGCTCTTATTGGAGGTCGTGCCAGAAGTTAACACTGAGGGTTTTATTATCATGCATGATCGGGGGAGAGGATGGGCAGCTGCGACACGTGAGGTTTTTCCAAACGCAAGGGAATCCTTTTGCATCACATACATTGTTCGGAACTTCAATGCTAAGTTCCGGTCAGACCTTGATGGCAAGATTGAGCATGCAGCTAGTGCCTTGACCGCAGAGGTGTTTGCACAGTACCTAATGAAGATTGAGAAAGAGTGTCCCGGGGGGTTATCTACTTGACAAAAGATGAGCTGGCTAGCAAATGGGCCACCACCAGATTTGGGGCTGCTCGTTATGGGTGCTACAGCTCGAACCCTGTTGAGTCCAGTCATGCCATGTTGAAGGGTTTGAGGAGAAAGAGTCCGGCGCAGGTTCTGGTAGCAGTGGTTGGGAGAAAGGGGGTATCAACATTCAAGCGGCATGAGGCATTCGAGTCCATGTCTAACGAGCAGCTGCCACAAAAAATTGTGAACATTATTCGCAAAAATGCCAAGTATGGAATGTCGTATACGGCGGAGCAGACGGGAGAGACGGTGGTAGAGAAGTTTGGAGAACGGGTGGTGGAGCAGACCTTCAAAGTGACCCGCACGACTGGACGGGAGACACGGCGCGTCACGACCTTCGCCAGCCTCCCTGAGGCCAGCACTTGCAGCTGCGGGTATCCAATGTAAGCCATGCGTGAGTGATTGAACATTTGTTTAAGCGTATGTTATGTGATGGTAACTCGTGGATACGTACTTAACTTAATCTCTTTCCTACTGTGTGTTCCCTTGTACAACCCGCCTTTGTGTAGGGAGTACGGCCTCCCATGTGTACACCTTTATGCTGTCTACAGGTCCACACCGGAGAAGGCTCATAAAGTAGTGGATCGCTACTACAAAGTGGAGGCTCTTAAAAATGTCTACAGTACACCTGTTGTCCCGCTCGACCCTACCGAGGCGTTTCGAGATAATGTCACCAAGCCACCTTCGTACCCTAAGCGGCCAGGGCGTCCCGCTTACGAACCTCCTTTTACAAAGGGGAGGTGAGAGAGGGAAGGGAGAGGAGGTGGGCTAGGCGGGCTTGAGCGCGAAAGCTCATAGCGATCCCCCCCCGTTAAGAACCCCCAAGTCCCGATGAGGAGAGGAGGTGGGCTAGGCGGGCATGAGCGCGCACGCTCAATGCGATCCCCCCCCGTTAAGAACCCCCTAGTCCTCACCCCCTCGTCACTCAACCCCGTCAACCTCACACCTTCCGCACCTGTCTTCTCCCGCAGCGGCTGGCGCTGGCGGTAGCTGCTGCTGGCGCTGGCGCGGGCGGCTGGCCGCGGTGGGGCGGCTGGCTGCTGCTGGCGCTGGCGGTAGCTGCTGCTGGCGCTGGCGCCCGCCGGCGCTGGCGTCCGCGGCGACGAAACGGGGGGCCCCGGCGCGTCGAAACGGGTGGCCGCGGGGCGACGAAACGGGGGGGGCCGTGGGGCGACGAATCAGGGGCCGCGGGGCGACGAAATGGGGGGCCGCGGGGCGACGAATCAGACGGGCGCAGGGCGCGACGGGACGAAGAAAATAGCGCATTTCGCGCTGCATTAAGGGCGGGCCCATGTTTCTGAAAAAAAAAAAGGAAGGTTCTAGGAAAGAACCAGCTCTGAAACCATGTCAAGATAGGGACTTATGAGTTTAGGAGGGCCTAGGCTTAGGAGCCTAGGCCAAGGGGTGTCGAGGGAGTTGTGCCAAGAGAGTTACGAGAAAGAAGGGGCTTCACTATAGCACTCAAGGTACATATAGCAAAGCAACAAAGAAGGTGCACCACCAACTCTTAATAATAATAACTACAGTACCTACAGCACGCAGGGTATATATTAAACATATTGTTTGACACGACAGTCCCAAATTGCACCTGCGCCACCTTTCAAAAGCTTGCACAGACCACTTCGTCAAGTTTTAAAAACTTGACTGGCGCGGCCCGCAATTTGGGCCGCGGGCTTTAATATTACAACATTTATTTGTCAAACGATTAGTGAACATGCAGTCAGCAACGCATTAATATGATCTCTAAAAGTGCAAACCAATCCCGTAAATGGAACACGATATCCAGGGCTTACGTTATCAGAAATTTTTGGTCTAAATTTCTGGATTTTGAACACATTTTTCCTGGTTCATCTGATGCCGTAGACATGCTGTTTAATGCCGTCTGATTTTTAAGAGAAACTTTTTTTATTCGTCTGATTTCTCAGACAACCTTTTACAGTTTGTCTGAGACTGCAAACATCGAGTTTTTTCTCGTCTGAAACAGACAAACTCCCCCACCTGGCCAGTTGCCCACCTGGCTAGTTGGCCACATGGCTTGTTGCCCAATGTTACGGACGAGACTTGCCACCCGCCGCGTTACCGTGCTGCCACCGCCAGGCTGTACATTGCCTTTGGTCGGTGACAACACCGCACCTCACTGCTTTTTATTCGTCTGAAACGTAAGACTAAGCTACAACTTTCGTCTGACCATCAGACAAGGAGCCAGGACCCGGTCTTAACGTCAGACGGGCCCTGGCACTAAAGTTAGCCCTGACGATATCTAAAATACTTCAAATCAGACCAACACATCGCGTGCTTGCATAGGTGTAAGTCACTGCTTTCTTTTCCTGACACCTAGGATCTTATGTAACCCGCCCCCTCTCGCTCCTCCCTCTCCTCCAATTCCCCCACTATCTCCCTTCTCACCCGCTTTACCAAAACATTCTTCCTCCTTTTCTACAGTCAACCCTTTCTCTTCTCCTTCCACTACCTCCCCCCTTTCTTCCTAATCTCCCAAACACTCCTTCCCTGAAGCTGCACTCAAACTCCCTTCTTTCTCTTCCTCCTTCGCCCCCTCCCCACCTCCATCCCCTCCTCCCCCCCACATCATCCCCCGTGCAGCATCCACCAACCCTTCAAACCCCAGCCACCCCGCCTCTCCAGCCTCCTCCTTCCTCTCCTCCCCCGCTCCCTCTACCGCACTCCACGAGCCTGCACCCAACCCCCACCCAGCAAAGCCAGCAAACCCACCAGTCCCACCTGCCCCAGTTCCACCTGCCCCAGTCCCACCTGCCCCAGTCCCGCCCTCCATCAACTTGTCCAGGCCGATGGGTGGCACAGGAGGGGAATAGATGGGGAGGCACACCTTGGCTGGCTTCACAGGCTTGGGGGTGGAGAGGGGCCGCCAGAACTCTCTGGAAGCCGAGTAAACCGCCACGGCCGCTCGGATCGACTCGCCGGGGACACTGGCGCTGCTACTGCTGCAGTTGCTGCTGACAGGAGGGAGCTCTCGCTTTTCACTCGCACACTCCTGCTTCCTTGTCGCTTCGCATAACTCTCGTCAATGCTCCCCACGTTGCTCGCCGCACTAATCTCACTCCATAGCTCGTTTTCCCCGTCCTTTCGACCAGCCCTGCCCTGCAGGAGGGCGGTCTCTTGACGGTGCTCCAAGAGCGCGCGCTCTTGGAAGGAGAGCAGCGAGCGGGAGATGCGCAGCGAGCGAGGGAGCGACTGCTTGGTCCAGTGGGGCAGGCCAGGCACAAAGAGGCCTTCAGGGGGGGGTGGCGAAGGGGAGGCGGGGCGGGAGGCACGGGGCAGGGAGTGGGAAGAGGTAACACCCATGCTCTCATGCCATCTCTTTAAGCGAGACTCAAGCGACTCCTGCCCCTCCTTCCCTCCCTCCTCTTCTATTACTGCCACTTCTGCTGCTGCATCTGTTGCTGCTGCCGCTTCTGCTGGTGCTGCTTCTGCTGCTGCTGCTGCTAGTGAAGCTTGCAGCTGCCCAACGGGGGATGGCATGGCCTCCATATCAGGGCAGCTGGAGGTGCGGTGGAACCTTCTAGACGCACCCATTCGGGATGCTGCTGGTCTCCTTGACAACTGGGGTGCAGCAGAGAGGGTTGCTCGGCTTCCTGCTGCTCCTGCTGTTTCTGCAGCAAAATAGGAATAGTTCGTGACTGCAGCTAATGAATTTGGCCATGCTTCTGCCGCTCCTTCTCCTTCTCCATCTCCTCCTCCTTCCGCTGTTGCATTCGCATCATCACTGCCTGCAGACCAAACATCAAACCTCTCTGCAG